CCATCACTTCAATTTGTGATATAGTCTTCTGAGTAAATGACATGGTGAAAAGAATGACAAATCAAGTGATGATCATGTGTGCTCAAACTGTGTAGTAAATCTCAATCTAAAAGCTCCTTTGCAACATATACTATAGCTACCACATATATCATTTGCAAATATACTTTCTTTGGAAACCTAGGTGGAGTCCTAAAGAATTCATAATGGTAACCCTTGTTCTAGTAGGTAATTTGGACAAGGTATGGCTGAAAGAAATATGTAAAGAATTAATGGCTCTGTGTACATGTCATAACTAACTGGAGGGTAGGTGTGATATTAGCACCTAAACACTTTAAAATAATATTAAAAAAGAGAGAGGACCAAAAGTAAAAGGTCTTTTTAAAATAAATAGACAAATTCAACACACCTAAGGCCACAATACTTCAAAAATAACTTCGACTGGGAACAGGGATTTTAGCTCAGTGGTCCCGCCACCTGCCTAGCAAGCCCAAGGTCCCAAGTTCGATCCCCGGTACCAAAAATAAAAAATAAAAATAACTTCTACTTTCTGAAAGAGGGAATGGAGCATGCTGGGGCAGTCTACACAGATATGGCATCACTATACACTGCCAGAAACTAAAGCCAGACAGAACAGGAAAATACACCTGTTTCTCTCCGATTTTTAACGGTATGGTAGGATACGATTGCTCAGCAATCTTCCTAGTTTCCTTGTCTTCCTGTATTCTCCAACACTTTCAAAATATAACTCAAGCTGGACATGGTGGCGCACACCTGTAATCCTAGCACTTGGGAGGCTGAGGCAGGGAGATCACTGCAAGTTCGAGACAGTCTGGGCTACACAGCAAGACCCTGTCTCAAAAAGCTAAAAAGAACATGTATACATATATACACACATACATATATACATCCCTTAACATGACTGGGATCACATGGCCCATTGTACATACATACCACACCCGTCCCAGTTCTTAAACATCAGCTGATTGCTATATAAAACCTAGCATGCCACTTTTGAACTTAGCAACAAGTAAGTACTGTATTTACTAGGTTGGGGAGGGGACTAACAAGAAAATGTTTCTACCCTACACCTGAAGATCCTACCAACTTTGTACTCAGTTGTAACCTATTCCTGAACCTCCCCTCCTCCAAGGATCATATTGTCTGACACATTCTTGCTGTATTACATCTACCACCCTATCCCAGGAATTAGAATCCTGCTCATAAATCCACATAAAAACACTTTCCTGTGCCTCTTGAGTTGCCTTAACCTGAGTATTATTATATCGTCCTCCTCTCATCTGACTATACTGTGACTGGCCCTATGACACTAGATGCCACATTACACTCGACATATTAGGGAAAGAACTACTAATTCCAAGTCTGCTAATTCCCCAGTTTGCCCTAAGGAACTAGTTGCCTGGACAGCCTCTGGCTCTAACCCAAGATAAAATCAAAACACACAAAATATCTATTTTATCATATACTATCAACTTAAAATCATTTCTCAGTCTGGCTAGGTAGAAAGCTAATAATTTTTTAAAGGAAACATAAATGACCACTCTTCATTTCATGCTACAGTTTAGATCTTGAATGGCCCCTAAAGGTCTATCTGTTAAATATGTGGCCCCCAGGGTGGCACTGCTGAAAGGTAGGAGGGCCTTTAAGAGGTGAGGCCTACTAGGAGCTCTTTACATCACTTGGGGCATGTCTTTCAGGAACAACCATACCTCCCTCCCTCCTTGCTCTCTCTGTCTGCTGTTTGGCTCATGATGAGGTGAGCAGTTTTGCTCTGCTACTTCCACCGTGATGTGCTGCCTTATATGCCCAAAGGAATAGGGCCAATCCATTATGGGCTAAAACCTTCAAAACTGTGCCAAAATAAACCTTTTCTCTTGCTAAGTAGATTATCTCAGGTATTTTATTATAGTGATGGAAAGTTAACATATCTCACTTATATTAGAATATTACACTCTGCATTTAGCTTTATAAATTAATTTCAATATTTATATATCCTATTAACAGTTTCCCATGTGGTAAGACATCATGAATAAATGGGTAATTACAACGGATGTGGCAGCTATCCATATTTCAGTCGCAACCCAATTAGCTGGTATAAATGGATAATCTAGAGATGCAAAAATCAAACTTACAACAAGGAACTAAATTCTTGTATTAACACAGTAAATAGTTTATTACATGATTTAAGTAAAATATGACACTGCCATCAAAACCATTTTACACTGGGCACCACTCATTAGATTTCAGGCAAGAGCATGTATCTCATGGCAGATTTTATAGCAAAGTAGATGAAGATAAGATAACCTTGCCTGGACTCAAAGGAAATAAAATTTTCATTTTACACACTCTCAATAGATTATATAAAAAGATTTTAACTTATTTATTCAAGATAGTAAAAATATCCAAATGAAGTACTGATATTCCGGTTTTGGTTTAGGTCATATAAATCTTTCATCTTTTAATAAATGAAGCAGTGAGTGTTAATTTACATGATAATGGAGACAAATCATAACTGAGATACAGTTCAGCAAATTAAAGATAATAAAACAAAAGTGCAAAATACCGTAAACCACTTTATAGAAGATAAGGAAAATTTTTAAAGTAAACTTTAGTGTTCCACTGACTATTAATAAGCATAATACTTTCTTTTATCATTTTAGCATGACCACATAATCCAACATGCAGATTACATATCCAATTCTTTGTTTGTTTGAAGACAGTGAGGACAGGCTCCTTTTATGTAGCCTAGACTGGCCTCAAACTTGTCATCCTCCTACCTCAGCCTCCTTAGCACTAAGATCACAAACATGAGCCACCACACTCAGCTGTTCACTTCTAATTAGCTAAGACCTTATTAATATACCTAGTATTATAATCCACTTGATATAAAGTCACAAACCTTTTCCAAACAATCACAATATACAATGAGAAATTAAATACGCTTTTACAATTCAGTTTGTGAACACAGTATAAGTACTTCCATTTGTTATTTCAGATCAAAGAAGCTGGTTCTTCACTTGGTAATTCCAGATAGCTGGAATTAACAAGAAACCATTCATGTCTGTAAGCCTCTAACCTTATCTTGATTCAAATAGTAAGCATTCCTAGATAAAGAGGAAATCATGCAAATTACTTTTTAAAAGTCAAGTTAAAGCCAGAAAAAAGACAATACAAAAAAAGAATACTACAGACCAATACTCATGTTGAACACTGATGCAAAAATCCTCAACAAAATACTGGCAAACCAGAATTCAACAACACATTGAAAGGATTATACACCATGACCAAGTCAGGACTTATTCTTGAAATGTAAGGTTGGTTCAACATACAAAAATTAATGTAATATAGCATATTAACAAAATGAAGGATAAAAACCACATGGTCATCTCAACCAATAGGAAAAAAAAGCACTTAACAAGATTTAACACCCATTTGCCATAAAACATTCAATAAACTAGAAGGAAAATACCATCAAAAAAAAAAGAATAGAAGGAAACTACTCGTACATAATGAAGGTCATTTATGAAAAGTCCACAAGTTAACACCATACTCAATGGTAAAGGACTGAAAGCTTTTCTTATAAGACCAGAAACAAGGTAAAGATGACCATTCTCAGCACTTCTATTGAATATGTTCCTAGCCAAATAGATTTTTTAAAAAATTTAAAAAGCATTCACATCAGAAAGAAGTAAAATTGTGTTGCCAGATAACGTGATCTCATATACAGAGAACTCCAGCATGTCCCCCATCATACACAGAATTGGCAGAATAAATTCAATAAACAGATAGGACACAAATTCAGCACCCAAATCAAGTGCAATAGTACACTCCAGCATTCCTAGCTACTTGGGAGGCTAAGGCAGGAGGATCCAAAGTTCAGTGTCTGCCTGGGTGACCTATTAAGAACCTGTCTCTGGCTGGGGATTTAGCTCAGTGGTGCTGCCGCCTGCCTTGCAAGCGCAAGGTCCTGAGTTCGATCCCTGATTCAAAAAAAAAAAAAGACCCTGTCTCAAAATTTAAAATAAAAAGGTCTGGGGATGTAGTTCAGTGGTGAAACATACCTAGGTTCAATCGTGGTAAAACACACATACACACATTCGCGTGTGAACACACAAGATTCAGCTACACTTCTATATACTAACAATGAACAATCTGGAAAGGAAGTTAATAAAATAATTCTAACTGCAACAGCATCAAATAAAATACTAGCCACAGATTTAGCTCAGTGGTGCCGCCACCTGCCTCGCAAGTGCAAGGTCCCTAGTTCAATCCCCAGTACCAAAAATTATATATATATTAAAAAAATAAAATATTTAGGAATAAACCCGACTAAGGAGGTGGAAGACTATACAATGAAAACTAAAAAAAAAAGTGCTGAAAGAAATTAAAGATAACACAAATACAGAGAACGACATCTCATGTTAATGGACTAAAAGTTAATACTGTGATAACCAAACTACCCAATGTGATCTACAGATTCAGTGCAACTCTTGTAAAAATCCAAGCAGCAAAATTCAAAAATTCTTTCTAAAACTCATATATAATCCCAAGAGACCATGAATAGCCAAAACATTGAGAGCAGGGAGCTAAGCATGTAACTCAGTGATATAGTTGTTGCCTAGCATATACAAGGCTCTGGTTTCCCATGGAAAGCAGAGTCTCAAAGAGATATCTGCATACCCATGTTCATAGGAGGGTTATTTGCATTAGCCAAGTAGAAGTAACCCAAATGTCTACCCACATATGAATGGATAAACAAAATGTGGCCTGTACACTCAATGGAATATTTATTATTTCATCTTAAAAAGGAAGGAAATTCTGAAGCTGGGAATGGTGGCACACACCTACAATCCCAATTGGGAGGCTGAGGCAAGAAGGCTTAGTTCGAGACCAGTCTAGATTACATAGTGAGCTCGAGGCTGCCCTGAACTACATATGAACACTGTGCCTCAAAAACTACAGCCAAGCCTGGTGGCACACACCTGTAATATCAGCACTCTGGAGGCCGAGTCAGGAGGATCCCAAGTGTGAGGCCAGCCTGGGCTACATAAGAGACATTGTCTCAAAAGATGGATGGATGGGTGGAGATAAGACAGTCGCACAGACCTAAAAAGGAAAGAAATTTTGTCACACACTACACAACATGGATAAACCCTAAGAACATGACGCTAAGGGAAATAAGCCAGTTACAAAAAGACAAACACCATATGATTCCTCTTATGAAGTATCCAAATTAGTGATATTATAGAAACAGAAAGCAGAATGGTAGTTACCATGTAATGAGTAAAGAGAAAAACGGGAGCTGGTTAAGGGGTATAGTTTCAGATATGCAAGATTAAGAAATTATAAAAATGTTTCATATATATGAATAAAGTTAACACTACTGATCTGTACACTTAAAAATGGCTAAGATGGTAAATTTTGTTCTGCTTTTTATTACAATAAAAAATTTATATATAAACCCCCTTTTATCAAACAAACTTCTGTCATATGATACACTCATAAGATTTTACTTAAATCACCAATTATTTGAGAATATCTTTTTTTTTTTGGCCTTCACTCTGCTTTATTGAGCACCCTTTTTGTTTTTGTTTTTTTGAGAATACCTTTCTACTATACAAGCATAGTACATAACTACTGATATTCCTGAGATGTAATTTTACAAACTGTGACACTGATAATTGATACCTACACTCAGAATATTTTTGACTTTTTTCCTTAATAAAGTAAAAAGCACCAAAGCTTATATAATTTTCAACGAAATATGGAAATAATCTAGCTTTTCCAAAAAACAGAAGCACTTGATTGAACATGGGATGTTCCAGCTACATTTTTAACTCACCGTAGGATATAAAGACTATCAATGGAAAAAAAAAGAAAGACTACTAATGAAATCCATTTAACAAATATTCAAGATTTCTATATTAAAACTTGATGGTACAAGTCAAGTCTCAATAGTTACAAACAAGTGAGTAGCATGCAACTTAAAGCTGTCAAAAGAGCAGCAAGAACCTCTGCAGCTACATTTTTAACTCACCATAGGATATGAAAGACTATCAATGAAATCCATTTAACAAATATCTGAGATTTCTCTTCCACGTTCAAAACTTGATGGTACAAGACAAGTCAAGAGTCTCATAGTTACAAACAGGTGAGCAGCTGACAATTTAAAGCTGTCAAAGTAGCAAGAACCTCTGCAGCAATGCAAGCAATCATTAGTTCACAATAATAAATAGAAATTTGCAGTCATTGATCTCTAAACTGCACATTTGCTTCCATAAAACTCACGGGAAGATGTTTACATAGGCGGATGGAAAAATGGGGTGACTGCTAAAATTTTAAAGATTTATTACATTAAAGGATGCATTGCCATTAATCCCCCTCAAAATACAGTACTCCCAGTCACTTTGAACAGACATCCCATAGTTCTTGCCATTTTCTGAAGCAGTTCTGGAAGTCCTTTTGTATTTTTAGGAGGTGTGATGAAAACTACGTTGAATGCTGCTATGAAGTGTCATCCAACAAAAAGGCAGGCTTATAAAAACAAAACAGTATGTCCTCATCCACCTTTACCAAATGTGGCACCACATGACTTCTGTGTCTTCCCCAGAAAGTCCCATGAAAGATAAATGCCCTATGTTTAATCACAGCTCATATAACATAGATAATCCATTAAGAGGAAATAGCAAAAAATCTTATTTGTGTGTTTGTGTATGTACGTGTACTTAATTACTGGTATTAGGCATGACCAAGAGTTCCCTTATATTTTGCCCTGTAACCTACTGCATTTTCAGTGCCTTTCTATGCCCATAAGTACATTTCATCTACTGTAATATACTAAACAAATAGACCAACTGTCAATCTGAGCTGTAAAATGATGGTAATTTTTGAAGCATTGTTACACAAGATGAGGCCAAAAAAAAATTTCTAAACTGCCACAAATACAAGGAATTTTTCTAAACTACCACAAATACAAGGTGTGCCTGAAACATACAGTGTATGTTTGAATTTTTCTGTTACTGTAAAAGACAGACACATTGCTATTAATATACCTCAAAGTATTCCCCCCTTGCTTTGAACACACTCCATCATTCCTGCTATTTTCTAAAGCAGATCTGGAAGTCCTCTTAGTTTCACTGTCGTAGCTGCTGGGATGGGATAAATCAATTTTTTAAAAAATTTTTTCTTGGTACCAGGAATTGAACTCAGGACTTGGCGCTTACCAGGCAGATGCAGCGCCACTGAGCTAAATCCCCGCCCCTCAATTCAAAATATTTACTTTTCACAGTCATATTGACTTTAGGGAAGAGCCAGAAGTTGCATGGTGCCGTATCTGGTGAAGAAGGTAGATGAGGACACACCATAATGTTGTTGTTGTTGTTGTTGTGTTTTGTTTTGTTTTTTTGGTAACAGAGATAGAACTCGGCACCTTGCGTTTGCGAGGCAGGCGGCAGAACCGCCCAGCTAAATCCCCGGCCCGCCATAATGTTTTTAACAAGCCTGCCTTTCTGTGGGATGGCATTCTGCAGCATAATTTTCCTATTTTTGATCACGTCTCATAAAGACACTCATGAAAGAGGACTTCCAGAACGGCTTCAGAAAGTAGCAAGAAAGATGGAATGAGAGTGTTCAAAGCTAGGGGGACTATTTCAAGGGGAACTTAATGGCAATGTGTCTTGTACTGTAATAAAATTTTTTTAAACAAACCATATTTTTTCATCAGCGCTTGTACGTTTTAGATAGATATGAAAGTGTGCTCTACTAAGGAGAACTAGAAACTATTGTTTTAGAGAGATTCATAGTTATGTTACTGCAGCTTTGATGTTGTATGTTTTCTTGTAGCAGTGGTTTATCTGTTAAATCATTACAAAAGAAACTTCTCAAGTAGAAATTTTTTTTCAACCAAAAAACATGCTGTAATGATCCATGCACAAAAAGGCATCTGCCAAATAATGCCGCAAGACTGAGAAACAGGTATGAGAGCTTCATCATGTGCAAGGACCCCTCATTTATTTTGGTAATTACTTTGGCAACGGTACACAAAATGCTCTTTTTATGATGATAAACCCTTTTTCTCTCAGTCTGTCCCATCCCTCTTCCCTCCTCCTATAAATGGCTGTGCTCAGCTCTAATTAATAAATCTCAAATAATAAGTTTTTTCTCCAATTGCTTCACATAAATTATTCTGTTGATAGTTGTTAAATATCACACATTATTTTTCTTGATTCTTTATTTCACTGTGCTCTCCACATAGGTTAGTCCCATTCAGCTACTTTGGTTAATCATAACAACTTATTAAGGTATCCAACTCTACATCATCTGTTCATTTTTCTGCACAAAATTACAGAATGACAGTTTATCTGGTGCTACATACTTTTTAAATTAGCTACTAGTAAACTACTATTTCATATTGATCATAATTTGTAGATCACAAACTAGCTCTAAAGTCAGTGTGGCAGATTCAGCTCAGTCATATCATGCACAAGAGCATTATTAAAACTAAGAAGAGGTCCAGGGATTTAGCTCAGTGGCGCTGCGCCTGCCTGGCAAGCACAAGGTCCTGAGTTCCATCCCCAGTTCCAAAAAAACCAAAAAACAAAACCAAAACAAAAAAACTCTAATAAGAGCCAGGTGTGGCAGGGGACACCTATAATCTCAACACTCAGGAGGCTGAGGCAGGAGGATCACCCTGAGCTGGAGATCAACCTGGGCTACATAGTGAGTTCAAGGCCTGCCTGAACTACACAGTAAGGCCCTGTCTCAAAAAAAACCCAACCCAAACCAAAACAGAAAAAATCTGAAGATCTTCTGTTAAACTTATTATCAAAGTTTACATCAAACTATCTTTATCAATTGTGCTATGTTTCACATAAGAGTTATAAAATAAAAATATGTATGTGTGGATGAATGTACATACTTGTCTGCATAAAAATAAATACTAAGTTGCTGGGTTGTAGGCTCAGTAGCAGAATGCACGCCTAACACAAGCAAGGTCCTGAGTCTGATACCAAACATCACACATACACACATGAAAAAGAAAGACAGGAAGGAGAGACTAGAAGGACTAAAAAGAAACTTTTTTAAAGTTGCCTAGGAGAGAGGAGATGACAAAGTGATTATGCAATATGATCAAAATACATGGTGAATATTTAATTTTTTTAAATGCATTACAGTAAAACACACATTACAATTAATCCCACTCTTAAGATTCTTTCCCTAGCTTTGAACACATTTATCCCATCTTTCTTGCCACTTTCTGAAGCAGTTCTAGAAGTCTTCTTTCATGAATGTCTTTATAAGGTGTGATCAAAAATAGGATGAATTATACTGCAGAGTGTCATCCCACAGAAAGGGAGGCTTTAAAAACATTACAGTATGTCCGCATCTACTATATTAACCAAATCTGGAACCATACCACTTCTGTTTCTTCCCCAAAGTCAAAATGTGAAAGGTAAATGTTTTTGAAATTCAGGACATCAAGGCAGCCACAATAATACAACTAAAAAATATTAATGAAAGAGGACTTCCAGAAATACATTTATATGAATGTTACTAGAAGTTTTCCTCATAATAGCCCAAAATTGAAAGCAACTGTTACAGGCTGAATGGTATCACACAAAAATTCATACACTGAAGTCCTAACTCCCAGTACCTCTTAGAATGTGACATTATTTGGAGCCAGGGTCTTAAAAGAAGTTATGAATTTAAAATGAGGTCTTTAGTAGGGGGCCTTAAAGCAATATTAATGGTGTCCTTACAAAAGGAGGCAATTTAGAGATAAACACAGGAAGAATATCATGTAAAAAGGCAGAGAAGGGGGTTATGCTTCCATAAACCAAGGAACACAAAAGATCACCAGCAAACCTCAAGAGGGGAAGAAGAGACATGAACAGATTCTCTCACACCCCTCAGAAGGATCCAACCACGCCAACCCTTTGATCTTTGATTTCTACTCTCCATAACAATAAAATTCCATTATTTAAGCCATTCAGTTTGCACTCTAAAAACTGATTCAAATCCAAATATCCCTCAATGAGTGAACAGTTAAGCTATCATACAGTACATTTCAGCAATAGAAAGGAATGAACTACTTGGATAGATCTCTA